TTTGGTAGCACCAGCTGAGCGTGGCTGCCAGCTTCTTACAGCCTCTGCAGCCCTGTGACCAGTGTGCTGTGAGTGAGAGCTCTTTAATCTGCTTTGGGCCAGATCAGATGGGTTAACTCAGCCCACCTTTTTTAACTCAGTAAGCTCACCCAGCTGGCACAGCCTGACACAGGTTGGGTTCACTGCTCTGCACACACAGCTATTATAGCCAGGGGACAATAATGTCTCTGGAGGTACAGCTATCACTGTTACCCCAGCATGAGTACTTTTGTATCAGTTATACAGGACAGTTTTGTATTCAGTTGTCTGTGCTTAGAATGATGTGCCCGTGACATGTGAGGTGATGACTAATTATGCAAAATACTCCATAAGGAGGAGCTGAAACTTGATGGACACTTTGCTTTTATATCTGATTTGTTTTGATTTGATGTAGGTCTCATCCACATAAGGCCAGCGGAAATATGCCCTCTTCAAAGCTCCAATACCTATAAAAAATTAATTTTCTCCTCTGTTCCTACACAGGCAGCAGAAGATGCAGGAAGTAGCATTGCTATCCACTGTGTGAAGTGTGGGACCAAGCTGTTTTGCCTTAGGTTTTGCACCGTTAAATAAACTAGTGCATGAAAATGGTGCACCCATTTGTAGGGCTTGAACTGAACCATCGTGGCGTGTGGAAGCCACTCAGAGGTGCCCGTGAAAGGGAACCTTTCCTGCCTTGAGGAATAAGACTTCTGTATTAAAGACTTCTTCATACCACAGGTGTTAAAAGCAGGGAAAGTTTAGGTTCAATATTAAAGGAGGGAATCTGCCACAAGCCATGAAGCCTCAGGGTACAACAGGCCTGGTGATAATGTATTTAAAGCAGAGTCAGACTTTTTTTGCTCACTCAGAAAGGTGAGATGATTTGGCCCCAGTTCAGGTTACAGAGGACACAGTGTTCCTAGAGTGCAGGGAGCTGGAGGTCAGCAGCTGTGCTCTGCTCTGAACCGATTGTATCCTGATAGTTGTCATGGTTTATCTCCCTACGTGCCTGAACACCTTTGGGTGGACTTTAGCCAGGGGTAAGTCAGAATTACCAAACCACTGACACAGAAAAGACAGTGAATGCCAAGTAAGGCTGACCTCTAGGAGGAAGGATTGATTAGCCCAAGAGAATGCTTTCCCCCCCCCCAGTATTAATAATTATTTGCATTTTAATTCTTTCTTTTTGGAATGGATATAAATACTCTTTCAAGCATTCAGTTTTCACTTGAGTGAAATTTCTGATGACTGGAGTGGCATTAACTTGAATAAGAACTGCAGTCTTTGTCCTTCCTTTCCTTTGAACTACAACTGCACTTACCCTTTGCATGTGCCCTTATTAACCCAGACTGCAAAGACTTCTTTTAGCTTCCAGATTAAGAGTGTGAACTCTTGAGCTGCGTGTAAAGTGTCTTCCTGTACCTTTTTTTTTTTTTTAATTGATCAGAAGCGTAGGACACCTGAATCTGTTGAAAATACAGAAGGAACAAGTAATTTTATTCTATCTACAGTCAGGGCACCATACCAGTGATGGCAGCTATTCACTGTTACTTGGTATTTCATCCTCTATGCCAATAAGTACTGCTTACTCAAAAAAGAAATAGTAAATATTTCTACCAACAAAATTTTTGAAGAGGGAAGGGGAGAGAAGTACATGAATTGAGAGGGAAGTATTTTCAGACAGTCTCTGATACATGTAAATTGAAATAATTGCAAACCAAAATGTCCCAAAAGGCCAGTGAAAAGCTTTTATTTGCACAGGAGAGAGGCTGGGGGAAGTCACTGAAAGGGTCTGTGAGATTAGTTTCCAAAATGGGATTATGTTGTTCTCGCAGTCACCTCCTTATGCAGACAATGGGAGAGACAATGTCTGAAGAGCCTGCAGGTAACAATTAACTATAAAGATTAACCTGACTTTTGTCAGGACATTTCATCCTAATTTAAATATTTTTTTCTTTTAAAAAAATAGTGAGTGCAGGTAGTTGGGATTTTTTTTTGTGTGTGTATCTCTCTTGGGTTTAGATTGTCACTGCAGAACAGAGTGCTGACTTTGGGGATGTATCGCAGTGACTTGGTAGACTTGGTGGCCTCTGGCCATGAAAATATTGTGTTTGTGAGAGAGCAGATGGAGCCAACTCTGCATTTGATGTGCTTTAATCATTTAGACAACCCACTGCCCATCAGAGGTAAAGGGATAAGCAACTTAGCTCCGCTGCTGCCATGACTAACACCTTGGCACTCTGTCGTCAGCACAGGGAGTTGTATCTCGAGCCTCCTGCAGTTTGAGACAGCTGTAACGGGGGAAGGAAGTCTTTAAAAGTGCTCATAACAAGCAGGTTTCCATGCAGCAGCCCATAGCATCAAGGGGTATCAAAAGAAAGGAATTCAGGCTGCTTTGAGGTGCGTGAAATGTCTCTGTCATAAACCTGACTTTTTGGTGTGAGATTAGCTTTGATTTGATTTGTATGTCATAGTAGGTTCCTGCAAAAGAGGTAGAGAAACTAGTTTGATCTGTTTTGTTCCTTCCATTTCTGGCTCTGTTGCCATGGGGTGGTTGTGAGGATTGCAGTGTGGTGGATGTGCTTAGATGATGAAGAACCACCCAAAACCCACAGATATTGTTTTCATTAAAAACAGTGCCAAATGAAATGCCTTAGAAATATTTCTCTTTTATGAATGCATTTTAACTTTGTTCAGCTGTGTTCCGAAACACTGAAGTTTTAACTATACACTGATACAGTTTTTAGGTTTCCTTTTGCAGTAGGTGATTCTGTGGACAATAGTGATTTCAGTACTGCCTGTAGAGTCCTAGAAACATACAGCTCCTGTGAGGCAGAAAGACTGGCGACACATACTTCACTCCACAGACTGAAATCTTGAAAACGGCTCCGTTTCTGGTGAATGTTGCTATAAATAATTTTTCAGTAAATCTCTTAAGAGGTCAGTGTCTGTGGGCAGATTGGAAATCTGGGGGTTGACTTATTACCTGTTCCTTTAACTGTCAGTGTTTACTCTGTGCAGGATCTTACTGAAACCTGCACTGTTTGTTGCTAGTTTTGGTGTAGGCAGGAGTTCTGTAATCAAAACCTTTGATATGTGGCTTTGCAGTGTATACAGTAATGAAGGAGATTAAGTCAAGCTCATGCAGTTAATTCTGGCAGGCCATGCCCTGCCTACCACAAAGGGACTGAAAAGGGAAGGGAATTGCATGTTAACAGCATTCCTGCCTTCCTGAAGCATTTCAGAAACTTGTCCCTCTTCACTTCCTGTAACTTTCTTTACCAGAAAAACTTGTGGAACTTGACTAACATTCCAGAAAGCAGAACAGGCTTTTGAATCCAGCTCTCCTATGACTGCTGTTGCATTTTTAGGAATACTTACATAATTTGAGTGTTCTTCTAAGCATTGCTGGTGCTGATACCACCATTCTTAGTGGAACTGGTTCCTAAAGTCTCAGATGCAGCATTCAGCATCTTCTGCAGTACAGACATGAAAGTCTTTGTGCAGGAGGTGTTTCTTTTGCCATAAGAAGTATTTCATATGCAATCAATCATGCACAAAAAGAAAAAAAAAAAAAAAAGAAAAAAAGATGATGTGTGGAATTTTTTTTTTTTTGTAGACAAAGAAGGCTATGCTGTTAGTGTGTGGGGTGATCAGGATTTTTTTGTCAGCTTATAAATGTTAGCGGTAAACTTCCCGATAACACAAGGGAATGCAGCAACATTTAAACTATTTGATTAGCAATTTCTCTTGTACACCTAGAGCATGAGTTTTGATCTATTTGCATTTTCCAGCATCTCAGTTGCCAAGTACTTGAAATGCTGAGGCATCTAGACAATGTCATCACTTGTAGATTTATGAAAGGCTTGTCATAGGCTTAGCAGCTCTGAGAAGCTGTAGGTTGGTCAGGCCAAGGAGGGAGAATTTGCTACACTATGTGGTGTTTCAGCTCAGTGTGGGGATAACGACACCCATCAATAAGTGAACTGTACAAGTCCCATTTCTTTCAAACTTCTGCCTTACGATGATCAGTTTGCACATACGAGTCATCAACCTGTGTCCTGGGGTCTCCACTCACCCCTGACTGAGAAGTGTCATGTGCCACGTGTTTGAGTGAAACCCTGATTGGCCAATGCAAAATAAACCCATGGCTTCATGTGCACAGATGGGTGAGGAGGGGATTTTTGAAGGTCAGGTTATCCTGTCTGTGCTAACGCAGTAGGAGATTAATGAAGAAAGGATTTAGCTGTTAAAAATGACCAACTACTCTTCTTCCATGTGAACAGACACGGTCTATACTGCAGCTGGAAATGTAGCTGCAGCCCAGCAGGATGCTCCTAAGCTGACTTTTACCAGCCTGTATGAACTGAACATGCTGATACTGAGCATGGGCACCAGCTGCTCCCCTGCAGCCCTTGGTGGGATTGTACAGCCTGGGCTGAAATCTCTGTCCTTGCCTTGCTGCTGCTGCTCAGCCCACAGTGCAGTTCACCCTTCTCAGTGCCGTGCAGACACAGCCTAGGCAGCCAGAGTCAAGTCAGCTGGTTCCATCAGAGTTACAGGATGGCAGTGTGGCATCAGGGACCAGCTCCAAGCTTCCCTCTCATAGGTGCTCCGCTGCCAGGGATGTGAAATACCTCTCCCCAGACCTGAGCAGCTGGCAGACATGGATCTGAGGGGATATGTGGCTCTGGTGAGGATGGTTTGTCTTCACAAGGGTGGGATTTATTTCATGTAGTGACATGGCACAAAAGAAAGTACTGTGTGAAATTACTGTTCTCTTTCATACCTATCAGAGTGAATTACCTCCCTTTTTATTTTGTATTTCAATGCAAAATAGCTGATTCTTTTGGGAAGAATCCAGATCAGTCTGCTGAAACCTGGCATTGAGTGTTCCTTATGTACCAGAATAGAGAAATTAATTAATTAATTTGGTTTTCCTCTGCTTGCTCTAAATCCCCCTGGGTATCTCTTGGCAGGCCCAGAGTCCTTGGCTTCCCCACTATGGAGGAGTTGATGTCCATTTTACTGGCATGGCTGACTGTTTCCGGCAAACTGTGAAGCACAAAGGTGTGCTTGGACTTTGGAGGGGACTCACACCCAGTCTGCTCAAGGTGAGGTTTTGCTTTCATCCCAATCCAATGCTATCCTAAAGTAATCAAGATAGTTTTGGACAGTTGGGGTTATAAAGTTTGTGGCATTCCTCTGTGCTTAGTAGCAGCTTATAAACAACTGATCTGTGACAGAACAGGTTAGAAACCAGCCTTGGAACTTGTTTGTATTGAATTTCTCCAAATGTAAGTTGGCTTCTAAGTGTTACTACTTTCAAGCTCATTTGAATGTTCTTAGCCAGGAGAGTGCTGCTAACACACAAGGTAGGAGATGGATGGGGGATTGCAAGTGATCCACTTAGGACAGCTAAATGAGTACTCCTCCTCAGCTGAGCTCCAGTAATTTGACATGTTGTACTGAGCTGCAAAGAAAATTGTGCTTGTATAAGCCACTTCCCCAGAAGTCCAAAGCAGCACTTTAAGCCAGCTATTTAATGCATGTGTATTGGTTACTACAGCCCTTGCTCAGTTGAAAGCATGAAATAAAGCACAGTAGCTTGAACAGAAGGTAATTTAGTTTACATAAATACGTTTTATAGTGCTGTGATGAGGATTACCTACATGGAGTAATACAGGTCAGCTAATGAGTGCTAATTGAGTGACAGTGTGATTGATTCTGATGGGCTGCCTGTGCCTGCCCTACCTGGACTGGTACAAAGCCACACGGCACCAGAGCTGCTGGTTCTGCATTGGAAAAAGAAGGAAATTGTTCGGTCACTCTGCTGTGTGTAGAATAATTCCACATTTCCTACCAGGATATGCTCAGGGGCTTAGGTATTTGACAAGTTGTAATAATCTATAGTCTAGCATAGACCTTGTTCCTCACAATATTATTATAATTAGTTATGTACCAATAATAACTCCTACTTTTAGCATGCTGCAAGTGCCAGCCTAGTTTGAGGTGGGACTCTGATTTTATATAAATGAGGACAGGTCTATTAGCAGATCAGAAGTCCTAGAAGTTTCCTTTTTTTAAAACATCCAAGCTACGAATGCTACTAGTGACTCTAACATTGCTTTTTCATTATTATTTTGACAGATTGTCCCATACTTTGGTGTTATGTTTAGCACCTTTGAATTCTGCAAGCGGATCTGTCTGTACAGAAATGGTTATATTGAATCTCCTTTAAATTACAAGCTGACTCCTGGCGTGGACCAGAGCTTACGGCCACAAGAACTGAGAGAATTAAAGCGCCTCCGAAGGGAAAATTTTGAGCCAAGGAAATCGGCTCTTGAAAACTGACATCAGAGTGTCCACTGCAGATACACAAACTACCTTTCTTAAGGAACTTTGCAAGAAAGACATACTGAGCTACAGGTACCGGCTTTTCGGCGGATTGCATGGTTTTAGTACTGAGACACCTGTGACAGGAAAGAATAAACCTTGTATTTCATTTGCTGACTGGATATAAACAATATAAATAGCAGCCACATACTGAAGAGGAGACTTGCAACCCATTTGAAAACTCTTTACTGTTGGAACTTGAAATAGCATTATTTTAAGTGTTTTTTAATGCTGAGTAGCCACTTGAGATTAAACCACGTGCAGAAAGGCAAGAGAACAGAGATGATAAATTGTATCTTCAAAGCCATTAAGAAAAAATTCAAATGGTTTTTCTTAAGCAATCTGAGATGCCAAGTCAGCCAAAAATGATAAAACAGACTAGAATCCATGCAACATGCAAGAATTTCTGCTGAAGTCTCCAGGTTTTTTAGTGATATTATGTAGACATGGCATTCTGCCAAGCCAGAATTAGTCTCAGTTCGGTTACACTCCCAAATCCACACCTCAGTTTCTGAGACTTACTCAAGAATAATAACTGTGTGTGAAACTCCAGAACAAAGATGAAAATATGCTGCTACGGCTGTGCTTTTGCTAGGGGAGAACTGTAATGTGCAAAATGGACTGCAGTACACTGGAATGACAATCTTGCAAACTTAAGTGCATACTAGGAGATCTTCTTCCCTTTCTCGTGGGTTGCTACTGCACCTGTGTGAATTATTTCAGTTTGAAAAATAGTTTTCCTGGAGTTCTCTAACTGAACAATGCGGTTCTTAGGTGTGTTAGGTATTTCAGAGCCACGAGCCTTGTCATGTTGTTTCAGTATTCTTAAAGCTCTATTTTTGTATTAGACCACCTCTTAGTTCCATTGCACAGACATTGCTGTGCTGCCCGGAACGTGCCAGCAGAGCAGCACCATGCACACCACCTGTGATTGCTCCACTTTAACTGCTGTGATCCAGGAGCAGCAGACAGATCCTGTATGTAGGAACCTTTCTGCCAGACCACAAGGTTACTGCCAGTGCCAGTGCAATTGATGGGCCTCTGACCAACCTTGGACAATAAAAGATCACCTTGGTGTTACACCTGAGGACCTGTGATATTGCTCCAGTTCTTTTGTAGAAGTTCAGCTATGGAACAGCCCCATCCCAGTGCCTTCTGATAGAAACCCCAAACCCTGTGTCCCTGTGGGAAGGTGGCTGTTCCCCCTGCAGCGTGTCCCACAGGCTCAAGCTGTGGCAGGGGGGGAATCACGGCATCTTGGGAAAGTGTGCCCACACCAGCTCTGCTCCAGCCCAAGCTGCAGCAGCCTGGGCTCAGTACAGGGTTTGCTGCTGCTCTGCACAGCTCCTTGTGTGCATTTTTGCACTGTTTATAATTCCTGATGGGTGGAAATAAGTAAATCTCAGAAACTGCTTGGTTAGGACAGGTCACAGCGGGATGAGGCATTGGCAGATCGATACATGAATAGTCTGTGACCATGGAGAGAAACTTGCAGAAAGATTTGGGATAACTGTAAGGCCTGCCCTGCACCTGACACTCATTGTTGATGTATCCTACAGCTGAGGTCTTGCCGTATCTCTCTTAATGGACTTGCTCCATTGTGCTGCAGTGGTGCTTCATCCTGGTTTTCTTCTTGGAGAAGAAACACAAGCACTGATAGGAAAAATTAGGATGGTAGAGAGCAGATCTGGTGGTTTGTGCATCACACTGAGGTTGTAAGTGCTGTGGCTCTAATCAACCTGCCTAGTGAACATGTTTCTCTGTGCCTCAGTTTCCCCATCAGCACAGTGCAGGTAATAATGCTGGGAGCTGTTGGAGATGTATGGATAAGATGTGATTTATAAGTGTGTTGGGAAGGAATGGATTTCTTACCTTGTCCCAACATACCTGTATGCTTTTTACTAATCCTGTATTTCTGAATAGATTTAAAGATTGAACGATGGGTGCATATGAATATCTGATCAGCTCTTCAAACCTCATAAGAGTCAAGTGAGTCAAAAAGGTACCTCTACCTTGTTTCTGATGTGCTAATACCACCTTTCTATTGTCATGCACTCCTACGACCTATAAATCACTTACTAACCTTTTATCAGCCAAGCCTCTCCTTTGTAATCACATCTGTGCATGATAAACACCCCAAAAGGCAGCACTAATATTTGAGACAGCTCCAAAAGAAAGTGCTTCAGCAGTGGATCACTAACATGTGAAAGGGTGTGTGATCATGAACAACCAGTGAATAGCAAGGCTGAACTCTTGGGTAGGTGAAGCTTCACTTGAGTGACATTTGGATGCAATGGAGATGGTGGGTGGTACCTGGTGGGGGGTGTGTCTGAGCACCCCAGCTGAGCTCAGCAGTGACTGAGGGAGGGAATCCATGCAATACTTGGAGGGATTCCATACAGTACTTGGAGCTCGGTGACTCCTGGAGCATCCTGTGTGCAGGGGGACGGTATCCTGAGAGGTCTCTGGGCGAGTGTCTCGGCTGAGGTTCAGGGAGCGATCAGATGCGGGCCTGTGCGTGTCCGTAAATTAGGGAGCCTCGAAGCCTCACATGGGGTGCCCGGGATGGGGATGAGCCGGGGCGGGGGGGCCATATATAGATATAACTATAACCCTGTCCGCCCGCGGTGCCGGTGCGGTCCCCCATCCCGCGCTCTCCCAACGCAGAGTGCCCCATCCCGGACCCCCCCATCCCGGTCTCCCCCATCCCGGTCTCCCCCATCCCGGTCTCCCCCATCCCGATCTTCCCAATCCCGATCTCCCGCATCCCGGTCTCCCCCATCCCGATCTCCCCCATCCCGGTCTCCCCCATCCCGGTCTCCCCCATCCCGGTCCCCCATCCCGGTCCCCCATCCCGATCTCCCCCATCCCGGTCTCCCCCATCCCGGTCTCCCCCATCCCGGTTCCCCCATCCCGGTCTCCCCCATCCCGGTCTCCCCCGATCCCGCTCCCCCAGCCCGTTGCGGTGGCCCCGCCCCCTCCCTCAGCCAACGGGTGAGCGCGGCGCGCGCCCCGCCCACGCGCGCGCCACCGCCCCTATATAAGCGGCCATTGCGGCGCCCCCCCCTCCTCAGCGCCGCCTCCCGCCTCCCTCGCCCGGCATCGCCTCCCGCTCCCGCCGCTCCCGCCATGACCGATGCGGCCGTGTCCTTCGCCAAGGATTTCCTCGCCGGCGGGGTGGCGGCCGCCATCTCCAAGACCGCCGTCGCGCCCATCGAGAGGGTGAAGCTGCTGCTGCAGGTGAGCGTTGGGGGCCGCCGCAAGGTCGCCGCAAGGAGAGGGGGGGGCGGCGGCGGGCCGGGGGGTCGCGGGGTGGCGGCGCTGACGGCGGCGTGTGGGCTCCCCGCAGGTGCAACACGCCAGCAAGCAGATCTCGGCCGACAAGCACTACAAGGGCATCATCGACTGCGTGGTGCGCATCCCGCGGGAGCAGGGCGTCCTCTCCTTCTGGCGCGGCAACCTGGCCAATGTGATCCGGTACTTCCCCACCCAGGCCCTCAACTTCGCCTTCAAGGATAAGTACAAGCAGATCTTCCTGGGCGGCGTGGACAAGCGGACCCAGTTCTGGCGGTACTTCGCCGGTAACCTGGCGTCCGGCGGTGCCGCCGGCGCGACCTCCCTGTGCTTCGTGTACCCCCTTGACTTTGCCCGGACCCGCCTGGCAGCGGACGTGGGTAAAGCCGGGGCCGACCGAGAGTTCAGCGGGCTCGGTGACTGCCTGGTCAAAATCTTCCGCTCCGATGGCCTCAAGGGCCTGTACCAGGGCTTCAGTGTCTCTGTCCAGGGCATCATCATCTACAGAGCTGCCTACTTTGGCATCTACGACACCGCCAAGGGTAGGTTGACCAAAATGGCACTGAAAGGGAGACGCTGTTCTGCAGCAGGCCTGCAGTGCATTTCAGCAGCGCTGGTGGCTCACCTGCCGCGCTCATCAAAGCCTCTCTCCTGCAGGCATGCTCCCAGACCCAAAGAACACCCACATCGTTGTCAGCTGGATGATTGCTCAGACGGTCACCGCTGTCGCTGGTTTGGTCTCCTACCCCTTTGACACGGTTCGTCGTCGCATGATGATGCAGTCTGGCCGTAAAGGAGGTAAGTTTCCACTTCATTTTATAGGAAATATAGGGCAATCCTGAATCAACAGTTGGTGTTGGAGCTGAGGTGAGGGCAGAGTAGCTTAGCTTTCACCAGCCCGTGTAGATATCCTCACCTCCTGTAAGCAGGGTGTGGGAGGGGCTGCAGAAGCAGGTGACAGGCAGGAGCATGGGTGGGTTGGCCTGCACAGCACACCTGTAAAGGGGCTTGCACAAGTCCCTATATCTGTCAGTAGGGAGGAAGAGCAGAACTTGCCCAAGGATGTTGCAGACTGGTGTCTCTGGGGCAAGAACAGACAACCCTCATAGCAGGCACAGCCTGGCTAACTGTGCAATAGCTTTTGGGTCTGGAAGTGTTGATGTCAAAGCAAACAGTTGCTGCCTTCTGCTCAAACCAGTCCTTCCAGTGTCTCTGAGGGGTGAGGCAGCAGCAGTGTATCTCCTGGGCAGTCTTATCCTCCAGTGCACTAATACTGGAGAAAGTCAGTCAAGAAATGGGGGGACGCACTTGAGGTTATGAAGCTGGCAGATAAATCAGGCCGTTTCTGACCTGGGTGTTGGGGGTCTTGGGCATCCAGTTGCTAAAGCTGTCTGTCTTCTGCAGCTGACATAATGTACACTGGCACTCTTGACTGCTGGCGGAAGATTGCCCGGGATGAGGGCTCCAAGGCGTTTTTCAAAGGTGCATGGTCGAATGTACTCCGAGGAATGGGTGGTGCTTTTGTCTTAGTCTTGTATGATGAAATCAAGAAGTACACATAAGTTGTTTCCTGTTGTGAACTGGCATGTTGTTCTGTGTAGTCTATGACCGTTCATGGACTTGTTTGAAAACCATCTAGTTACTAAACAGCGACGGCTGATGTTTATACAAGTTGGCACAGGGGCAGGGGCGATGGCCTGCCCTGCCTTTATTCCCCTTGATGGGACTCATGATGGTTTCTATTTCAGTCACTCCTGCTTAAAGAGTACAAAGAAATAAAAATCCGAAACCAATTTTCCTCATCTCACGTTTGTTCTTGCAGCAGCTGCAGCACGAGGGGGGTGGGGGGTCTCGGCGATTGTAGAGAAGGAGGAGGGTGAACCATCTGCATCCTGCAAGCCTTGCTACCTGCTAAGTACAGCAGGTAAACACAGTGCAGGCTGCCGAGGAAGCTGTTTCCTCTCTAGAGGGAGGCCAGTGGTGTGGCTGAAATGGGGACTGGCAGCTCTGAAGGACTCGCCCAGCTCTTCTCCCTGAGACCCCAGGAACCAGAGATGATGCACTGACTGTGTGCCACAGTCCTGCCTCTGTCCTGTCTACTCCTGAAGCTGCTGAAACCTGGTTTTGAAAGTGCCAAGTGCCTAAACCATCTGCAAAGCACATCACTCCCCATGGCACTTAATGCCTGAGAGGCTGAAGAAACGCTGTCCGGAGGAACAGAGCTGGCCTCATGTTCTCTGGCTTAGAAATGGAGCTGCCTTCTTGGACATGTTAAAACCCATCAGAGAACACAAGTGCAGGTAATTGCTGCTGTTCTGTAGAGCCCCTGGCTAGCCTTGCCCTCACAGGAGATGGTGTGCTATGGGGATGGAACAGCTGAACAGAGACAGCTTCTGTGCCAGCTCTGCATGCCAGGCGGGGAGCTGCATCCTCAGGCTCATCCCTTACCCCTGGAAGTTAACCTTCCAAATTCCAGAGAAAGGGGAAAATTCCTTCATGCTGCCAGGGTCGTTTGTGGGAAACACTGCAAGATTGAACAATGTGGGTGGCTTGGCCTTTACACAGATATCTCTGTGGGTCTGTGAGCCACCCCAGTGAAACTGCCTGGCTTCTGCCAGGGGATGTGGAGTGGTGAGGGGATGCTCTCCTGGTCTTCTGCCCTTCAGATCAGCGAGTCTCCTCGCTTCCCCACACCTTGGCTCCTTTCTGGCTGCCCAGGCCTGCTCAAAGCGGTTGATCTCAATCACTGAAACTAATCTTAACTGCTGCCCAAGGCAGCTAAGCAAGACCTTGTGTTGCAAAGGGTTAGAGTGATTTCTTGCTGAAACCTAAGGGCAGCCAGGCATGAGAACGGAGCACCATCCTGCTGCAGGTGTTGGCTTGCCAACATCCCTGTAAATGGGCACGTGCATTCCTGAGGGGAGGTGGTGTTGAGCCAACAGCCCTGGCTGACGTTTTTCAGCTGGCCCTGGGCTGCTGTGGTGTGAGATCCCCCACTGTCTGCTGGGGAAACAAAACAGGCTGAAAGTTGCCCTGTGAGGTGTGGAGCGATTCCACGAGCGATGGGCCGTGCTGGGGGCGCAGGCAGCAGCCTGGCAGGGGGCTCTGCCGTGGGGCAGCTTTACCAGGGAGCCCTGTCCTGTTGCACAAGTGCAGCTGAGTAATTAAGGGCTCTTGGCCATTATTGCCTCCTGCTGCTAAGCTCTCCTGGATTTCAAGGGCTGTTCTTGTGCTGCTGGTTGCTGAGCATGGGGCATCCCTTCTGTCCTTTCCTCTACAGGGGATGTGTGGCTGGGCCGCTAGCACAAGGAGGTAAGTGCATCATTTCCTGCACAGGGTGGGGGTGACCAAGGTGCTGAGCTGGGCTGTTGTGCCAGGCAGCAAAGCTGCTGAGCCAGGGGATCCCTAAGTCCTTCGACTTACAGCATTGTGCACGGGGCTTGGGGTGCAGGACTGACACTGAGTGAAAGGGGTTGTAACTTCCCACACCAGTTACTGCACTGGGGACTTGGGAAACAAACCGGTGTTTCACAGCTTTTTTTTTTAGCTCTGGCACGTGGGAGATGCAGGGCAGAGCCCACAATGGATTTCACCTACACTCTACTGCCAGGGAGCCCAGGATGGCAGCCCTTCTGGCACTGGGCCCCTGGGGCTTTAACTTCCCCCTCCTGGCAGTTCCTTGGGAGCAGCTTTATCTGGGGAAGCAGGTCGGGGCTTTCAGCCACTACTGTTGCCTGCCACAGGAGCACACCACACAGGGATTAAGGGCTTTCTTCTTGTGGGGAAACTGAGGCACAGGAAAGGGACTGGAGCCATCCAGTGGCAAGGCAACAAACTGAGTGCAGTCCTTCTTAACACAGCATTTTGGCCACCAGGCTGGGCTGCCCCGAGGACATCATGGACAGGGTGGATTTTCCTTTTAACTGTGATTCTCCTGTGGGAGGGCCTGACATCTCGTATGTCATATTTCCTCCACAGGAGCCGTGTCCTGGTGTATCAGCCCCTTTGCTGGTGGGGACAGGTGGGCAAACACCTCCCAGGCTAAGGAGGTGTTGACACAGCACGGCTGTGCATGGGATCGTATGAAACACTTGTCAGTGGCTGGGGCAGGTGGTGAGCGATGCTGGATAGTTTGGATGGCTCAGTGTGCGCCACTCTGCCCTGGCTGTGCTGCCTGGTGTGTGCTGAGTTGTGCCGTGGAGAGCATCCCACCCCAAGGACTCGACTTGTAAAAGAGCAGCAGAGTGCCAGCTCATCCACTCCACTGTCCCCTCCAGCAGTCCTTGGGTCACTCCAGGCTGTGTCTCTGGGAGTCATATGAGCTGCTGGAGAGGTAGCAGTTTGGGGAACAGTGAGCACTCAGGAGCTGCCAAGACCCAGACCAAGACTGGCAGCATCAGGGAGGTTCTGGGAGGTGTCATCCCACCAGTGGCTTGCTGGTGGTGGTTGTCTGATCCTGATGGGATTGACAGGAGTTACAGCACTAGCTGCAGTGATAGGGCAGCAACTTTCTGGCTGACAAGGAGATTGGCCACTTGTGCCTTGAAATCCACCCAAAATACCAGCACACTGTGTCCAGCTAGGTTCATAAGAACTCAGTGGAGAGAGCTACAATGCTTCCTCCTCCATCTCTTGGATCCCAGCCCTGCAGCCTTTTAAACAAGCCCATCATTTTATACTTTCAAATGCCTGGATGTAGCAGTGCCCCGTGGACCTGTGGGGATCCTTACGAGAACACCAGCTAAAGCTGAGTCCAGTTTGATTCAGGCTGACCGGTCAGGACTGCTCCCAAACCGATCACTTTGTCATACACATTGTTAGTGTGCAGTTCTCAATATTCATTGCCATAGTCTATGGAGTCAGAATTAGCCATCTGTATGCCAGTTGGCAGGTGAAATAGCACAATCAGAGAGCACAGCCCAAGGAGAGCTGTAAGAACTGACCACAAATACTTCCCCTCAGGAGGTAGGCAGAGAGGACGCCCCAGGTACAGCTGCAATTAACACCGACAAGGTCGGATTCAGCATTACCACTTCAGTGTTTACAAACTGTGTGGGGGTTTTGTACAGGTAATGGGGAACAAGGCAGCATTTTTGCAGCCAGAGCTGTTCTGACATGGTAAATCAGACCAGGGTCTTGTGAAGGGTGCCTGGTTATTGGTCTGGACTAAGCCATGAAACACAGGAAGGTAAGTCTGGCCATGTGTGCAATTACTTTTGGAAGAGATCCCCTTCTCCACTTTTATTTCACACACTATTTTTCTTTGTGATACCTCTGCATCTGGACAAGTTCTTAGGTACAATGTGGTACTCAGTTAAACAGGTTTATATTTTTATGTTGACTTTTACAGTAACGCAAAATCTGAATTTGCTTTGGCCTGAACTCTGCTGGAGATCGCCCATTTTCTACCAGGGTATGAAAAAACAGCTGTAGAAGGGCTGGTTTTATCTAGTATAGGACATTTAATCAAGTGTTTGAACTAGGTGCCCCTGCTTCCTGTTGCTATAATCAGCTAATATTTTTTAATTCATTTACATGTAAAAATGAAAAACCCAACTTGATTTAAACTGTTGTGAATTAGATCTAGTTAAGAGTAAGAAATACATAATAATGTATTGGGTGAGATTCTGTGTGTTGGAGTTGTTTCAGGCATTGAGTGTGTAACTAGAGTGTATCAAAAGCACCTCAGGGACTGCTGGTGCAACAAGTGATGTACTTCCCTTTCTGACTGCGTCCGTGCACGAGTCCTGAGCCAAACTAGGCAGATCTCCAGCGACAAGAATAACAAGCACTGACTGAGTATGGGCTGGCCTTCCAAAATCAAGAAGTGCCTGTCCTGTGCCTCAAGGCTCTGAGTGCACAGCTGAAGAAGTTGGTGGCACTTGGTAACAGCTACTTCGGACAACTCGTGCTGAGCGATGGACTCACCATATTTTCTTTGTGCCTCACCAAACTGCAAAGATGCTCCTAACCCACCTGGCAGCCCCTTCAGCTGAAGGCTTTTGTCACTCCCAGCCTCAACCCTGACTGTAGATCATGCTATCCCCAAGTCAGCTTGTGGGCTGGTGTCACTTGAAGCAGGACTGCACTTCATCCTTGGACAACTGGAGACTCAGAGCCTGCATCCCAGCAGACCTTATTTGGTTCAAACCCTATTTTTGGATGTCAGAGTCTTCGACACATGCTTGGAAAAAACTTCCTAACTTTTATAGAGACCAACTCAGGGCTTGGATCGCTCCCAGAGGAGCCGTGAGGCCCTCGCCTGGCTGGACTGTGTTACCACACTGGGGAAAGGGATTTGTGTACCACAGATGTACCCACATACAAGCTCCTGCCCTTCCCAAGTATGGCACACCTCCCTGTAATTGCTTAACTGCAGAGCTTCTGGAAATAGGCTTCAGATTAACAGGTGATAAGCAGGGAACAAGATCAGCACTGTGAGTTAACCTGAACACCTGCTTACCCAGCCTGGCATTAAATTGTCACAGGACCTATGGACACATCCCAGCCTGCCAACTCTGGGGCAGAGTTCAGTCCCTCCTTTACATCTTGTTTTTCCAAAGAAAGGAAGAACAGATCCTTAGGCGAAGCAGAGCTGAGTTTTCCCAAGCAAGGTAATAAAGCCAGATGGAAAATCTTTACTGATTATAGGAAGTTTTCAGTAATAATTATGGGAGATGAAGCATCTTTGCTCACGTTATTTTATGATACTTGCTAGAGTAAGAACACCCTAGGAAACGTATTTTAGTTCAAATCCATAACATGGCATTTAATCTCAAGTAGAGCAACAAAGACACGGGCTATAGAGCACTGCTATTACATCAACAAGAGATACAAAATATTATTTCCCAAATAAGGTACTTTAAAAACTGATGTGTAATGTTGCCTTTATCCAAGTCCTTAGTGGTCAGAACATTCAAAACAATTTTCCTCCACATTTCACAACTCCAGATACTGATGCTGTTTTGTAGAACGGGTTAGTTCAGACATGCAGTGGTATTCTACTTTAAATGATCACCACCCGAATCAGTAGCTTCCAACTATATATTTGAAATCATTAGTGGCAGTTTTTATTTTCATTAATTTAAAACAGGCTTGGATTTCATGTTCTTGGATGAGGCAGTAGCTGCTGGGACAGTGCAATTCTCTACAACTGCAGCCTTCCACTGTACCACAGGAGCTGAGGCTGGAGTGCTGCAGCCAAGCCTGTGCTGGCTGCCTCTGGTGAGGGTGAGCAGCAGAATGATGCCCAAGCCCTGCATCCCAGTTGTTCCAGACTGTGTTGGAATGCCATGTCCCTCAGGCTGCTGCATGTTTTGGACACAGTTAAAATAACGAAATAAGTAACAGGCACAGAGCATACTTTTGTAAGGATGTCTTTGTTTTACAGTTGACCTGTTGTTCTAATACATTCAAGGAAATCTTACACTACCAAAATAAAGAGACAGTTATCTAAAGGTGAACTCACGAAGGCACCCAGCAAACGTTTTCCTGAAAGTAAATATTCTGCCTGGAACAGCTTGCTCCTAACACTGGGTCTGTAGAGAACTGCAGTTTCAGCAAAGTCTCCGGTGCTGCTGGAGTTATTAAAATTGGTACCAGAGTATCACTTATGACAGAGAGGTTCTCACCCTCCAGGTTGGCTCAGCATAGTGCAACCCTTGAATGCTGTCTGTTACTTCTGCTGTGTTAACCCATCTGTGATAGCTCCTGGTAACCTTCTCCTGTCTCCCAGTATCCAGCAGATAGGTAGCATTTCATTTGAACTGGTTATCAATCAGGGTTCCCTTCATCTTGGCTTTCTTGGCTTCCAACTCAGCCTGAATAAATGAAAATAAAGACAGAATGAAATAATGCCTGGATACATTTCCCTTCAGTGCTCCAGTGAGGTTTGCTCTTCTTGTCTGACCACTGTAAACTTTCCAGTTCCCAACTGAGGAGCAGGAGTAGCCCAAGTGCTTTGCTGACTCCCTCCTCACCTAATGCACAAAACAAGGACCACCCTTAAAATCATAAAAATCCTAAAACTGACTGTCCATGAGACAATTTCATACTTTCTATCCCCAAGTGGAAACTCCACATTTCCTCCCCCTCCCATCGACTACTCTGCTGTCACAGCAGGTAAGATCAGCTGTGATGTTCTTGCCCTTCTTCAAGTGCCTCTCAGCAGGGGCTGAGCTGCAGGTTCTCCACAAGAGCCTTGGGTTGCTCTGACACCTCATGGCAACGACCTGCTCTGCCAGGCAGGCACAAGAGCACAGTATTAGGGGCATTCTGGTTGGCAAAGCCATGGCCTGATTTCCCCTTCCCTTGATCCTTGTCCAATGAGGTCACAGAAAGCCTCCCTGCAAGCACTCTGCTGGCTGCTCTTGTTAGCTCTACAGGTAATCAAGTACTATCTTAATTCCAGAAGGACTAGAAGAATATTTCTATAAAACCTGTAAAGGAAAACTCATCCTCACAAAGCTACAAGTTGCCTGTGATTGTACCAGGACCTCTCTATACTTGCAGTCTAATCTGCAAACAGTTTTTGTGTACAAAACCAACCAACCTCAGGGACTTGTGCTGAACACCAAAGAAAACACTCACCAACTCCTGTAGCCTTTTCTTGCTCATGCCTTTGCGTTCCAGCTGTTTCTCAATCACTTTCGCATTCTGTGCATAGGAGTCTGCAATCTCCCTCTGAAACACACACACGTCACTTTGCAGCAGCAAACCCCAGAGTAACAACACCTCATCCGGGTGGTGAGACCAGCGCTGGCTCTGCCCCATGTCCCAGACAGCTCCCAGCTCACGTGTGGGTGCACCAGGGGCACCCCAAACTCACCGCTTCGATTTCCTCCTCCTCTTCATCAATTGTGGAGACTGTGACAGAACTGAACTTGCCCATATCTTTTGTCCGTTTGGTCATCATCACCTGGGTGAAAAACAGTATTTTGTTAAACCTTGGCAACAGTTGTGCCACTAAGGATTGCTTCCTCCTTCCAAAATTTTTAAGGCTTCCTAAGTCATGGAGATTACCTGAACTCTGTGGGTGGCAAATTATGCCCAGTGATTTCTGGGCTTAGAGGTGTCATTCATTACCAGAAGGAAATTCACTGATGTAAAACAGATTAGCCAGATTTTGAAAATCACTGCAGGCTACCAACCTGACCTACTTACAAATGGAAACTTTCTGGTAACTGAGCCTAAACATTAAGCACAGTATAGATTTCCAAGTTTATTTTGCTTTCCTTTAGTGCTAGCACTCCAAGCTGCAGTGACTTCTGTAAAACAAAACTTTAGGGAGACATGGAGAAGACACTAAGCTGAGTTATTGTTCAGAGATCATTTTTTTTCTCCCCCCTGCACCAACAATTAAGTTATTTTACACACAGCACCTTTTGAAAAACAAAGATAGCTTTTTTAATTCTCTAAAGCCGATTACCTTTTTGGGAGGTTCTTGTTTCTGAGTATATATGTTTGTTTTCCCAAAACCCTGGCCAAATTTGACCACAGCACCATCAACAATGAACGTCACGGGAGCATTCTTCTGTTGGTGTTGATAGAAGAGCAGCAGTCCACACCTGGAAACAGAAACATGGAGCTGAGAGGAAATCCAGCTTCTGGATTCCTATGGTTGAGGTTATAAATGTCAAGAAAAGGTTATAAATGTCACTAAAAAGATGCTGTGATCACTCACTTGCCGCACTTCTTCCTGAACTGCCGCTCTATGCCTTCGGGTCTGGGGGAGAGAGGAAGAGCTTATGCAGGGCTCACAGTCAGCGGGGTTCGGTGGCTGCCGCCCAGGTGGGGAGGGCAGCCGGGAGGGGCTTTCAGGGTGTCGGGGGTGCCGCGGCCGGGCCCACCTGCGCAGGAAGACGCTCTCCTCCTCCTCGGCGTTGCAGAACTTGTGGGCGTGCTTGGCCGCGTCCATCACCCGGGCGCGGTCCCGGGGCCGCATCGGCAGCTTCTCCAGCTGGCAGTCTGCGGGAGCGGCGGGGCCAGAGTGGCGGCGGGGCCGGGCGGGCACCCGGAACCCGCACCCGAACCTCGCACATCGCTCCCGCACCGCGACCCCTCGCCCCCAGCCCGCACCCGCCGCCTGCCCGGGCCCGCGGCCTGACCGTCCCCCCCGCCCGCGGCCTCCCCCGCCGGCCCGGCTCACCCAGCACCAGCACCATCTGCCCGCACAGGCAGTAGTAGACGTGCAGCGGCTTCTCGCCATCGTCGTACTCCTCGCGGTCGCGGGTGTCGGAGCACACCACGGAGCGCGACACCACCTTGGGCATGGCGGCTCCCGGGCCTGCCCGCCCGGCCCGGCCCCGCCCGCGGGGCGGCTCCGCGGGGCTGCGGGAACACCCCGGGCTGCGGGAACACCCGGGGCTGGAGCTCCCTCAGCTCTCGGGTCCCTGAAGGGGGGATCCGGGCACGGCTCCTCCTGCCCGGCCCGCACGTTCCGTGTTGCACAGGCCGGTGGCAGCAGGAGGGTCGGGGACGGGCGGCTCGCAGCGCGGCCGCGATAGCCGTGTGGTTACTGTTTCCTTTCCGGGGGTCTCCTCCCGTGTCTCTTCCGAAGCCGCCTCCCCACGCGGCTCCTCACGTGAGGACACGAGTGAGGATAAGCTCGGAAAACAGGGCCCACCCGGCCTGCTCTAGGCAGCAGCAGAGAGATCCTTTGCTTCCAAAGGCTGTTAAAGAAAGATAGAAAGGAGATTATTTCCCTTGGAAAATGCTCTGTGGGGAAGCAGGGCAGTGTAGAAGGTCGTGCTGGTTTTGTCTGGGATAGAGCTAATTTTCTTCGCAGTAGCTGGTGCAGGGCTGTGTTTGGATTTGTGTTGGGAACAGCGTTGATAATTCAGGGATGTTTTTGTTGCTGCTGAGCAGCTCTTTCCTAGAGCCAAGGCCTTTTCTGTTCGTCACTCCACCAGCGAGGAGGTTGGGGATGCACAAGGAGCTGGGACAGCTGATCCCAACGGACCCAAAGGATTCCAGACCATAAGGCCTCATGCTCAGCAATAACGCTGGGGGAGAAGGAGGAAGGGGGGACGTTTGGAGTGATGATGTCTCCCCAAGCTACCATTACGTGTGCTGGGGTCCTACCACCCTGGGAATGCTGAACGCCTGCCTGCCCTTGGGAAGTGGGCAGTAAATTCTCTCTTTTCCCGGGTGTGACGTTCCTTTCCCCGTCCCACTGTTTTGATCCCGACCCACAGCGCCGCCGACGCTCCGCCCCCTCCATGACGTCAGCGGCCACGGCCCACCCCCGCCCCCCGCCGCCGTTGGTACAGCCCCGCCCGGCTCCGCCCCCGCGCCCGCGCCGCGGTGGTTCAGCCTGGGACGGGGGCTCCGCCACATCCGGCTCCGCCTCCACCCCCGCGCCGTTGGTACATCCCGGGACCGTCCGGCAGCCGGCGCAGGAGTCGGTGCAGCTCAGGCTCCCCCCCCGCGCCCGCCGCAGTGGTAGAGGCCGCGATCGCTCCTGTCCGTCAGCGCCGCCGCCGCCTCAGTCGGAGCTCGAACCGCGCCCGGCGCCCCGCGCTCCCTCCGGCAGTGTATGCCTGAGCTATAACCCTCAGCCCGCCATGTCCACTCCGGCCCGTAGGCGCCTCATGCGGGACTTCAAGAGGTACCGAGGCCGCGGGCCGAGGGGGCGGGGGGGGGGCAGGGCGGGCGGTCGGAGGACGCGGGGCCCGGCGCTGGCGGGGAGGAGGGGGCAGCACAACATGGCGGCGGGGCAGGGCGCGCTCCGCTGGTGGCGCAGCGCGGGCGGCGCTGCCCGGCGCGGGTTACGCCGTTTGCGCAGCGCGGCCGCCGCCGGCCCGGGTTACGCTGCTGGCGCAGCCGCCGGCCCCGGTACGGCGTTTGCGCAGCCCCGGGCCGGGTTACGCCGTTTGCGCAGCCCCGGGCCGGGCTCCGCCGCTGTCGGGGCCGCCCTCACGGTCCGTGTGTCCCGCAGGCTGCAGGAGGATCCCCCGGCCGGGGTGAGCGGGGCCCCCTCCGAGAACAACATCATGGTGTGGAACGCCGTCATCTTCGGGTGAGTGGGCGCGGCCGGGGGCGGCGGGGGCCGCGCGGGGGTCGGAGCCGGGCAGCCCGAAAGGTAACGCTGTGCTTTGCTTTCCCTCCTGCAGGCCCGAGGGGACCCCTTTCGAGGACGGTAAGTGCGGCGTGCGGGGCTGGCGTTTGGCGTTCTGGGGGCAGAACTGGTGCGGTTTGACACGGCCCCGGTGTCATTGCCGTGGACTCTGCAACAGGTGTGGGCCCGGGGGCAGAGGGGGAGCATGGGTCACGTTCACCTGACCACAGGCCCATGTGCTGGACTTAAGTAAATACCCTTTTTTTATCTTACTACCACTTCCAAAACCTGATGTAGACTTAGATTGCTCTGTTGATTTACTGAGACAGACAGATTAGCTTGTAGGGTCTTGTTTGTAGTCACAAAGTCTGGCTGTCCTAAACCTAATTTAGTGTAACATTTTAACGATCTTCAAGCTTTTGTGTTGAACCCTGGACTGTGTTTTTAGGGACACTCATATTTGGAGAACCATCAGAAACCTGGTATAGAACCGTTGTCTTTTGTTTGAGTTCTGTATTTCTTTTCTGATGCTGGAAGTGTTTTATGAGTAAGTCCCAATGTGAGTCATCTGAAGTAGGAAATGGGCTGCATGTTTGAGGAAGTTCAGAACAGTTGGGTTGTGGGGTTTTTTTGGCATTTACTTCTGTCTGCTACAATTGGTGTCGTTCAGGACTTAAGATTAAAAGGACTTTTTAAAAGCTGACTAAATAGGTCCTGGTAACCTACCTGTGGTTTCCATCTGGCCTTATTGCTGTTGATAGGTTTACAGGTGCTGTATGAATACTTCAGCATCTTGTGAAAACCTGTTAGACATGAAATACTGTCTAACTGAAATCAGTGATGCATTTTTTTAAGATACTTTCAGTACAGGCTATAATTAATCTTAGATCTCCATGACTCATGACAAAAGCACAGGAAAAATTCCTTAACTCTTTTATGTTGTTCTTGGCTAACTGCCATGTCTCTGTTTATCCTCGGAGGTAGCACCTGTGGACATGCCTCTAAACTGCAGATTGTTTTTCTCTGTGAAGATTTTAAATATTTCGAGCCTAAGAAAACTGCAAAGATTTCAGTTTCTTTTTTTAATGTATTTGGTTGGTTGTTTGCTGTAGTAGCTGCTTCAGCAGTCTAATGTTTAGCACTTGAGTGTTCCATAACATTGTATAATAGAACGGGTAGACTAAATATGTTTTGTTATCTCATCTTGTAACCTTTAAAGAAGGCTCCCTTAAACTTCTGTGAGGGTTGCTGGAGCTGCTTAGGCTCTTGGAGCACTGCTGCTAATGGAGTGATTCACTGTTTGGAGCAGAAAGCTGTCTCCTTGCAGTGTGCTAAAATGCAGGTTGTTTCCATGCTCAGGCTCTTCCAGCTCAGTGTGTGGTTAACAGATGCTATAAGGGTTTTTTTCCCATACATTTCCTTTTAGTTGCAGAAGGTTGAGGACTGCTTTTGAGAGCCCTGATATATTGATTTCCTCTGTGCTTTCTGTGGCAGCATCATTTTTTTATCTCGGGTGCCGTGTTGGACTCACAGCAGTTTGAGGTTCAGGCAGATGCTTGAGGCTTCTGCTGTCCTGCTTTGGTTGATCTTGTAATCTCAGGGTGTGATGGATTGCTCTTTTCATAGCAAAGTGTGTGTTTTCAGACTGTGCTCAGGAAACAGATGTGTCTTGTGTTGCAGGATATCTGCTTATCTCCTCTTCTCTGGACGTATCTTACCTTATGTGAGATAACAAAACACTAAGTGGTGCCTGGAGATATGGCGTTATTGGTGCCTCAGCTGTGCGTTTCCATTAAGTGAGTAGAGTAGCACAGCTCAGATAATGGTAGTGCAGTCCAGCTTAATGTGGGTAAAATTAAGGGAATTTTAATTTAACAGTATGTTAGGTTGGGCTTATTTTGTAAGTGTGCAGGCCCTTGGGAGTCAAAGGGACACCAAAACTCTGTAATCTTTCTCATGAAGCCTTTGAGGTCAGTGCTTCAGAAGATGCTTTTGTATTTTTGGTTTTAGGCACTTTCACTTTCTGGTGATGCTGTAAGACTTCAGAGAGCTTAGTTCTTGTGAAAGTACCCTGTGAAGTTTTGGGGTTTCTGTTAAAACCAAATGTGTAATAACTCCCAACATTGTGAGAATTACTGTTCTTTATCCTCCTTCTGGTGAGGCCCTTCTCCAGTCTCAGCTTCTGAGGTGTCTGGACTGAAAACCCGAAGTTCAAACATGTTTGTTTACTTGCTGTGCAACATACTGCAGCTGGCATCCCTCCTTCTCCACCCCCAGACCTTGGAGGGTGTTTTCACAACTCGGTGTTCAGGCTGGCTTGGCTTAAGAGCAACCATTAATTCAGATCAGCAGCATAACTTCCATCTTCTCGTGTAAGAGGATTCAATTGCAGGTGTCTGCAGTAGGACCCTGGGGATATTTATCCTGCCCTTCACCGTATTTCTAAGAATTTATATGCGTGTGGCATCTAAAGTGGTAGTGCTGGCACAGCCATGGAAGCCCAGGCTCTCCCGGTCCTTCAGACCTGTTTCTCTGAAACCGGATGGTGATAATGTGGTCAGTGCAGGATTCCTGGCTTGGAGAGAGTGAAATAATACAGCTGTTGTAGTATCCTGCCTTGCTGTCATCAGGCAGGAGGCTTGAACAGAGAAAGCAAGGCATTTGTGTGTTGTGGTTTGTTCCTTGCTTGTGGAATATGGATCGTGTATCCTCATGTGGGAGCAGAAGAGATGGTTCCTGCTCTGTGGGCAGTGGAATGGAGGGGCTGCTCTTGCTGCCTGCAGGGAGGGGGCCCAGCAGGGGCACGGGCTCTGCTCTGGGGGGCTGCTGGGGCCAGCACATGGGTTGTGCAGAGACTTCTGTTAGCTGTGTCAGGGACTCAGATCCTGAGGCAGGAGAAGCTGATCAGCAAGGTGAGTACAGGAGGGAAGAGAATGTTCTCCTCAGTGATGATCCCAATATCAGTAATGACAGTGAATATGATAATTTATGTTTTAAAAATGGATGCATAGGGTAAGTTGTGAGGAACACCAGTTGAAAGCTTTAAACTTAGTGACAGACTGAGCACTGAAGGCCTCATCCCCACAGTGTGTGTTGTGACACCTGATTGACTTGTGTTGGCTTCTGGCGTGAGTGACCCTTGGACTTTGGTTTGTCAAACGTCTGGATTTGTCCTTTACTAAAGCTCAACAATGAGGTGTTGTGTACTGGGGAGCTGTTCCAAAGAGCCATTGCCACTCTGGGCCCTGTCTTGGAA